CTATTCTTAAGTTACTTAGCATGTTAAATATGTATAAGAGTATTTATGTACTTTTACGTAACAAAAATGTATATTTTCCAATTTTACAAATTAAATATATTTTTCAAATTTCCATTAAAATTTAAAGTATTTCTTAAAATCCTCCTATTATTATCTGAGCTTTCTTGCTTGATTAGAGTTCTAAGTATAGTTGAACTGATTTTTTTTTTCTCGTGGACTGTGGCACTTGTATTATAAAACAAATACTCCATTTACAACATTATAGAGAAATTTAGCTAACTATGTTTTTACCTTCATTACGAAAAATGAAAACAATAGAAAGTCCGCTAAATGAAATGCAAATGAAGTACCGTCGAGGTCATTGTATGAATTAAATCAACTATAAAAATGATCATTATATTATTTTATCATGCACATCAATACAATACTTTCTTGATTTTGTTGAGAACATTTTTAAATTGTTCATTTAGTCAGATTCATACCCAACAGTATTTTGTCCAAAAATAGATATTTCGAAAAAGTAAAATAGATATTTCGAAAAAGTAGCTACTTTAATAAATTAGAGGCCATTGAAATTTTACATTTGGTTTTAATAATTAATGGTATTGCATATATAGAGGAACTGGACACGTGTATATGTTAATGTTAGATAACCTGAAATATCTTGTGAAGTTGCAAATAATGGGTCACCATGCCACATACTTAAAAAAAAGTCAACGCAATCTTTTGCTACGTTACAAAACCTACCATATCTAGATAACAATAAGTTATTAACGTATATTGTATAGATGCAATGAACACATTATACGCCTCGTTTCGTACTATTTTTGTATTTACATAATGTTATATTTTTGCATGAGAAGACTAGATACATATACAAACACGACAGATACTTATTAATCTGTAAATAATTAAATATTGATTTTTTTGTGGTAAACATAGACTACTTATTAAGTAGTTGGAAGTTTAGTAGTTTTGACTACTTGGGATCATTAATTCAACCATATTCAAAATGGGTGACAATTAGTCTTGGATACTAAGAGATATTATGAACTATATATCTAGAACTTTTTACGGCTTATCGCAATAAAAAAAACATATATACCCAATACCTATTGTTTTATAATTCGTACATATACGTATCACATAGGTTACTGCATATGTAATAGTAGATATATCATACATATACTATATCATGTTTTATAGAAAAAAATAGAACAATAAAATCATAAAGAATAAAGACTGTGATGCTGGTCCGTATCATTTTTTTTTAAATGTAAAATGTCATTTACATGTAAGAGCAGCATTAGTGATTTTTTTGGGTATCTTTAA